GAACGCCAACTTTTCGAAACCATCAAGAAAAGGAAAACGGCGTATCTAGGTCACGCGAAATAAAAAGTACCAGTTCCTCCAACTTATAATCGAGGGTAAAATTGAAGGCAAGAGAGGAATGGGATGCAAGAAAATGTCCTGGCTCCGAAACATAAGGCAATGGACAGGGATTAACGACATACAATCTCTGATAAATATTGCAAGAAATAGAGAATTAATGGAAAATGTGATCGCTAACATCCATTAGTGGATTTGCCTCTGAAGGAGACGAGGAAGTACCTTGTGAAAGATCTGCTTTACATCTTCGAAAAAAAAATGCAATTTTTTGTCTTATTTTCGTTCTTAGTTTTTTCTTTATATTAATTATCTTAGTATTTGTTTACTTGTTCCACGGACTCAAAATTGGATTCCACACATTAAGTGCCTGAAAGTTGGAAGTCAAAAAAGGACTACTATAAATAACAGGGATGTAGATACTTTCTAGAATAGTTAAAAATATGCTCATAGAAAGAGTGCAATGATATTGATAAAAGAATGAAACAAAAAACAAGAATATAATAAAGAGATTAACAAAATGAAAGCTGGAAATCTGCTTACAATAGATAGGTGAAGTGATGACCTAATATAAAAGATCCAGGTGTATATAGACAATTTTTCAGGAATTAAAAAAGAAAGAAGAATAGTAATAAACACAAAGTAGATTAAAATGCTATAAATAAAATGTGCTGTTTTAAATAAAAAAGAACTGAAGCTATCGTTATTTTACACATCTGCCCACCTCTCTCCAAACGATATTTTTTCACTTGTCATGGCATTCAGCAATCTTTGATTTGACAGTTATAGGCTAAGGTGAATTCGTTCTTGTATTCATATCAGTTGGATGGGTTAAAAATGGTGCAATCTGAAGACAATGGGCGCCACCTGTCCATTGTCGCCATCCTTGACCGTCTTTATTGACAAGTGAATTTAACACGAATGACTCAGTGGTGTTACAAAGGCTATAAAATTACTAGGAAAAATGACTTAATTGGCATTGATGGAAGTATGATGCTAGCGTTGTAAAAGAAGTGCATAAAACGATAAAATACTCAATTTGGGCACCTTTGGGTACGACACTTGTTGTAATTAGTCATTCTTACAATGCATATTTATTTATAAACTGTTTACCAGAATTTGGGAAATAAAACTTTGCAATGTGCAAGACATTAATCTTTTTAATAGCAGCTGCAATAATCTGATAAAATTACGCTCCTGGAAGAATTGTTTGTATTTTTATGGAGTTTCAAGATCGTAGAGTAGAGTAGATAGGTCTAGGACAATATCTCACGTGTTCATAGTTTTCGATTAAATCATATATCATAGTCACAGGCTGGGCTTGGACATTAACTTTTCCAAACCAAAATTCTGGTATTCCGCAAAAACCCCGTGAACAAGTTACAACTAGCATACAAATAAATGGTATCACCCTTCAGAATTCCCAAAGTTTCATATACTTGGGCAGAGATCTAAATAGTCAATTAGACCACTTAAAAGAAATTAGAAGACGCATTGAAATAGCAAGATCTGGTTTCATGAATATGCGTAAAATGCTCTGTAATTCAAGCTATCAGTCTCAATAAGATTGAGAACACTAAAGTGTCATGTGTGGTCTCTATTACTATATGGATGTGAGACCTGGACATTAAAACAGTATGAAGTCAATAAATTAAATTCATTTGAAATTTGGGAAAAAAAGTGTACCAGTTTTATATGACGGGAACTGTACATGCTAGTACTAGCATGTACATGCCCTTCATCACCCTATTTTTCTATATTTCCCTTTCTCTCCATTCCCCCAATTAATTATCATCATTATATCAATTAATCAATTATACAATAATGAAATATGAAATTTTCTCTTCAAATCCTTTCCAGTACTCCTTAGTTCTCGCTTTTCGCTTGACGTCTCTCGTTCTTCTTCTTTAGGTGCCGTGTCCATATTTAGACGTTAGCTGCCCTCATGTTTACAATTTCTTATAATTTTTCTCTATGGGCTGCTGCGCGAAATGATTCTTCTACTGTGGCTCCACAATTGCTTAATATTACGCAGACATAAATAACACATAACATTTCAGAACCTTCTTGCGAATAAGTATCGCCAGGTTTCTGTTACATAAAACCGGTTTCCAGGTCAGAAAAGCCAGGTCAGAAAAAGTGATATTTCGATCCTGGTTATTATCTCTTCATCAGAGCTACAATTTACATTTAACCAGCTGTCAAGGTTTTGAAAATGGTTTACACGTTCTATTTCCTCTTCAGTAAGCGAAAGCAGACCTTGATCTATAATAATCTTTTTAACTGATATCCATTTTGTCTTTAAAATATTAATTTTAAGGCCTCTTTTGTCTTATGTTTGTTATTATGAAATAATATGCTTTTATTCTTTTTATGTTTTACTTGAAAGCTTACCTATTACAGTGTGCTTAACCTATATTCGTTAAGTGCCCTGAAGTTAGTCATGGTCTTCTTGAAGCTGTCATAGTCATATGCTTAGACCATAAAAGTAGTTCCAAGGCCATATGAGACATCTTTGATAGCTTACTTTACTTACTCAATTTATTAATGCCTGGGTACATTGTAAATTTTCTGTAAGAACTGCTACTCCCTCTTGTGTGTCATCCAAGGCCCCCTCAAGATTTTTTCAGAGTATAGATTATAAAGACTTGGTCAAAAAAGACAACTCTGTCGTATTTCATGTTTGATGGGTAGTTTTTCAGTATGAATATCTCCAATTTGGATAGACGGTACCTGATTGTACTATAAGTATTTTAGCAGTGTTATATTGTAGTAGTCAAGACCTGCTGCCTGCAGGCAATTGAAAAGTGTATCGTATTGTACTTGGTCGAATACCTTCTCGAAATCGATGAAACAAATATAAACGTGCGTTCCGAACTCGCAGCGAACAGAACGTCCATAAAAAATAGTGTCTCTATATTTCCTAGACTATTTTTAAATCCAAATTGCTTATTACACATAAAGGAATACTCGGTTTTGTATAATTCGTGAAAGTATCTTAAGTGGGTGGCTCATCAAACTGATAAGTCTAAAATCGCTGCATTTGATGGACCAGCTTTTTTTGGTATTGTTATAAACAGTATCTCCAACCAATCATCTGGTGTTATTCCTTCGTTGTAATTTTTTAAAGAAAGTGGTTAAGTAGGTAATGTTTTCCTTGTCCAAAACTTTAAGTAAGTCAGTAAGGATTTAATCTGGTGCAGATATTTTATTAATTTTGGCTTGCTGTATTGCTTTTCTGACTTCTGATTCCAGTATACTGGGACCTCTGTCTAAACTGGTTGTCACATGTAGTATGTGTATGTGTATTCTTTTTACGAAAAGCATCGTCAAAAAAGTCACTGATGTATCTCTCCCATTCTTTGCACTGCTGTACCTAATCACAAATTTTTCCTCTTCCTTTTTTGACCATTTGTTAGTTTCCTAATTTAGGAAGTATATTTTAGTTTTTTGTGGAGGTTAAAACTCTCGTGTTTGTTTGTGGAGGTTTTCTATTTTTGTACATAAATGCTTTAGCCAAAATTCATAGGCTTGCTTAATTTTTCTTTTTATGAGTTTGGACTTCTCTCCAACTCAATCCAATTTGTCCATGTTTTCTTGTGATTCTTCATCAGCTACATCTGGTCTTTTTTTTACTTTTTCACCTTCTGAAGGGTACTCAAGTGCTTGGGTAGTTATGTAAATAGATCAAAGACCTACTATCCGGTCGTTTTTTTCTTTTTCTCCTCCTGAAGGATACTCAAGTGCCTGGCTGGTTATGTAAATTTAATCTTTCCCTAGTGGATGCCCAATCCATTTCCATTTTAATGTTTTTTCCATAGTTTTAATGGTAACTTCTTTCATTTTGCTATCTTAATTTGTTAGCGATCTATCAACAAGCATTTGCAATATTTTTATGGTTTTCTCTTAATATTTCCAAGTCTCTGTGCCACACAGGAAATTTTCCCAATAAAATACTTGATAATTTTGATTTTTGTTTATTTTGTTATACTGAATGTCCTCCACACAAGATGCGGAGAAGATCGGAGTCGGCAACTGGAAAATTCAAGTAAGGGACAGAACGGAATGGCGTAGAAAGCTTGAGAAGGTCGAGGCCCTCTAAGGGCTGTAGCACCAAGATGATAATGATGATGAATGTCCTCCATATTTTCTTTAAGGAGTTATATGCCTATTGTGCTTTTGATATTCTTCTTTGTATATCTGATCTGCATATTCCACGTCATTTTCTGATGTTTTTATCATTTTACCAACATAGTTCCTTTTATTTTTTCTAGTATTTTTTTTCTTCAGATGATTACTGTTGTTACATTTCTTCTTTCATTTTCTCCCGTTTTTCTATCAGCTGTAGTGTTTCTCGGAATATCCATTCTCTGTTTTCCCTTTTTTATCCCAATTGTTTTATTTGGATATTAATTTATTATAAATAAAATCACAAACGTTTTTAAATGAATTTAGTGAAAACTAAAAATGTACAATGGTCTCTCTGAAAATTTGGTCCTTGTTTTTTTGGGCTTCCACATTTTTATTTTATCATCTTCTGGACTTTTGGTTTGTGCCTTTACCGAATTAAATCTTTATTCTGGCTCTGACTAGCATTCGACCTGCTCATCCCTGTTTCCCTTCCAGTTCTTTTATTTTGACTGATTAGTTAATAATTTATTGAGTTCCTACCCTTTTCTCTTTGAGATCTATATGTTTCTTTGGGTATCCTCTCATATTTAAACATTCTCCTCCTTACTATTACCTCGTTTTGGGTCGATCAAATATTGGCGTTTACCACAATAATAAATATTTTATGTAAATTATTTTCAGCAGCGCATTTTTTTATAAATTTTATTTTATTCACTGTAAGAAGATTCTTAATTTATATTCGATCATTAACAACTAATACAATAAAGGCTCCAATTACTATTTTAAAAACTATAATCTGTTTATTTTTGTTGCAGGGGAATGAGAGAATAGAAGAAAATAAAAATGTCGCAAGTTGAACGGAAAGAGTACCAAGAAACGAAAGTGATGAGGACGATGTCACCTGCCCGAAGAAACTATAGCTCAAATCAAAATTTATCCCAATTTGATAGCAACTTAGGTAAAAAAAATCAATATTACATGTTTGTATTAAATTAATTATTATATTATGCACTCACACAAATTTTTCCTCTATCTATTATTTATAAGTTATTTTAGTAATAATACAATCAAAAATGTAACCTTTTTTGCAACATCACTGCTTCGTTGGGTTAGACATTGCACTTTCGATGTATTCTCATCGCAGCATTTGAAACCAGCTATACGTCTTGACTGTATTAATACAGATCTTATTGTGCCGTAGCTTTGGAAACTGCTGCACGAAAGATTTCTGTGGCTGAGCCGTCAAACCATCTCCTCAGATCTTTCAGCCACGAGTTTTGCCCTACGCTTCACCTTTCTCACAATTAGTATCTCACAATTGGTAACTTTTTGTATCCATATAATTCTTAGCATCCGTCTGTATACATTTCAAAGGCATCTATCTATTCTTTTTTCTGTTTGTCCATTGTCCAACTTTGTCCAACTTTCACAGCCTTACAGCAAAACAGACAAAACGTATCATCTGATCATTTCAATTCTGAGCTCTAGACTAAGGTCTGATGTTGTAAAAAATGTTTTTATGTTCATGAGTGTTTTCCTAGCTTCTTCGATTCTTGACAGGATTTCTTTTTTTTTTGGATTACACTGGTTGATATTTGCTCCCATATATTTTATGGAAATATACTTTAATAATTTATTAATGCTAAAGAAAGAGCGGCTTAAAACAGTGGCCTAAACATTAATGAAATAAAAACCAAATACATGAAGGCCAGCAAATCGACAGGCCCAAGAAACCTACAGAAACTGACAATAGAAGGCTATAACGTCAAAAGCCTGAAAATTTTCACATATCTAGATTCACTAGTTACCGCAGATAACAATGTCAGTGAAGAAGTTAAGAGAAGAATACATATTGCTAATAAAACATATAATGGACTAATTAAACATCTAAGATCTAACAACATCACAAGAAAAACCAAATGCACAATATACAAAACCCTGATAAAACAAGTCCTTGTATATGGATCAGAGACATGGACACTGTCGAAAAGCAATGAGAACCTATTAGCTATAGGTAAGTGGGTGAAAGAAAATGATATATGGCGCAGAAGATATAATTTTGAACTATACATAGTATACAACGAACCCGAGGTCATAACAACCATAAAGATCGGACGTCTGCGCTGGATGGGTCATGTTGGACCAATGTTGGAGACTGAAACACCAACACATATAATGAGGCAAGCACTAGTAGGGAGAAGGTCAAAGGAAAGACCCAAACTTAGATACATGTAATAAGTGGAACAAGATATTGAAAAACCTAAGATTACCAACTGGAAAAACAAAGCAAGAAACACAATAGAATGGAGGAAAATCCTAGAACAAGCCAGGACCCAGAAAGGGCTGTCGAGCTACTGATGATGATGATGATATATTTATGGTCATTTATGTTTCTCCACTACTTGAACTAGTCATCATTCATTTATTCTAGATATTGTTCCAAAGTGGGTGATTGTATATTAAAAAAACTGACCAGACAGACTACCATATAAGCAAGTATGGCAGTTTGTCAATATTATTGCAGTTTTATACATTAACTCAATATCTTGCAATAGTAATTTCTGTTTTTTTTTTAAGTCCAGAAATGCAAATTCTGCAATAACTTTCTGAAAACTCCACTCAACTGCTTGTCTTACAATGGACATTGAGGAATTAAAGTTTTGTTGTAATTCATTGACACCTTGTCCTGGATAAGGACACAATAATAGTTCCCAAACATCATAGGCCTGGTCTCCATACAGAACAAAAGTGCTTCCATCAGGAAATCGTGCCTTTTCTTCCAACTGATTGTAAAAACCTGATTCCCGAAGTATTCCAGCATCGTATCTTCTGCCCATAAAAGCTCCATGCAAACTGACTGTTATACCATCTGAATACACAACAGCTTGGTATTTCACACAATGAAAATGTTTGTGACTTGAATAATATGCTTCCTGATCTATTACAGTTCGACATATGGCTCTTGCAATGCCATCCATGAAACCCCAACAATTCTGTACAGCTCCTCCCTTATTGGCCACTGCCTCCAATGTAGATGATACTGTTATAGAAAAAAAAAACACTATAAAAAATAATATTTAATATAAAGGTAACAAGATTTACTTTTATGGGTAAGAAAAATACATATTTTTGCCATTCAATTAATGGTTATTTAATCAAATCTCATTTTGAAAGACTTTTACATTTCATCATCATTTTGGCTAAACAACCCTGTGTGGGTCCTAGCCTCCCCAAGAATTCTCTTCCAGTCGTCCCTATCCATCGCCTTCCTCCGCCAAGCACGTATTTCCATATTTCTCATATCTTGGACTATGTTATCTAGGAATCTTATTCTGAGTCTCCCTCTTCTTCTTTAACCAATAGGTCTATCAAGGAGCGTTTTTCTAGTTGAGTCGGTTTGCTCCATCCGCATTACATGGCCTACCCACCTCAGACGTCCTATCTTAATGTGTTTTACGATATCTGGCTCCTGGTATAGTCTATACAGTTCGAAGTTGTATCGTCGTCTCCAGACACCATTCTCATTTACCGCCTTATAGATTTGCCTCAGTATTTTTCTTTTGAAACATTCTAACATGTTTTCATTCTTCTTCTTCTCGTGCCACTCCTAGCGGAGATTGGAAATCATCATGGCCACTGCGACTTTGTTAGCAGCGCGCCTGAAAAGTTCAATCGAACTACACCCGACCCATTCACGTAGATTACAAAGCCACGATATTTTTCTTCTTCCCACACTTCTTTTGCCCTTAATTTTGCCCTGCATGATGTTTCTTAAAAGTTCGTACTTTTCACCTCTCACAATGTGCCTCAAGTATTCCATCTTTCTAGTTTTTATCTCATTTAGAATTTCGCATCTTTTGTCCAAAGTTTGGAGTACTTGCGTGTTAGTGACGCGGTCCATCCATGATATTCTGAGAATGCGCCTATAGCACCACATCTCGAAAGCTTCGATGTTTTTTATGGTCAACTGTTTTAGTGTCCAAGCCTCAACTCCATATAACAGGGTAGAAAAGACATAACACCGCAGCATTCGTATTCGTAACTTTATATTGATATCACGATTGCAAAAGAGTTTGCGCATTCTATTAAAGACTGATCTAGCGATTTCTATTCTACATCTAATCTCTTTTGTTTGATCAGTATCGTCTGTGATCCAAGCACCTAGATATTTATAACAGGGCACACGCTCAATCGTTGTATTGTCTATTACAAGATTAGCTCTGATGTTCTTTGATTTCGTGATTACCATAAATTTAGTTTTTTTCAAATTAATTTTCAAGCCGTAACTGTTACAGTATATATTGAGACTTTGAACGAGATGTTGTAGTTCTACTAGCGTTCCCGTTAGGAGAACTGTATCGTCAGCATACCTTATATTGTTGATCGTCTCACCATTTATTATCAGACCAAGATCTTCTTCCAGATGTTTTCATTGCTTTTTGTTAAAGTCCAGGTTTCTGAACCATATGTTAGGACTGGGCGTATTATTGTTTTGTAGAGTTTTACTTATATATTTCTTGATATAACTGTAGATTTAAAAAGGAGATTAAGCCCAAAATAGCATCTATTAGCCTTGCAAATTCTGTGGTTTATCTCTGCGGTAGTGTCATTTTCAGTATTCACGAGCGTTCCCAGGTATACAAATTCGTTATTACTTGTACATTTTATAAAATTTAATTGACTAATCACAATTAGTAGCTAAAAGGTTGGTTGAGCTGGGCATCTGAAAATTCGGGATAACTTCTAATAAACGCGTTTTAGTAAAATTTGTGGGTTAAGCCACTTTGCATCTCATAGCGTCAATTTCAGTAAATTTTTAATTCACATGTATAGATTAAAGAACCATAACCATCTATAAAACTAAACATATATATTTTTTTAAGATTACCTCCTCGAAGACCTTCAAAACTCAGTATCTCGTCCAGGAAGTTCGTTAGGATACAACAGTAGTGGAAGTCATACACACAGGGAAACTTCTCGTGTTGTGGATACAGGCAGAAGTAACTCGCTGAATAGAATCGCCAATTTAAAATCGTCGAATCCAGTAGAATATTCTTCGGATGATGCGTACAATTATACAGTAAGAAACACTCGATATTATCTAATATGTTTTGCTCTGTTCAGTACAAATGTCATGAATTACGAGGAGTTGCTTGATGCTATACCCAAGTGAGAAAGTTAGAAGGAAAAAAAGATTCCAATAATTGCCGATATATATCCTAAGAATATTTTATCATAAATATATTTACATACTAATAGAAATTCATTTAAAAATTTGGTAAAAAAAATCCAGCTTGCATCCCCTTAAACTTTCATTGTTTCCATCAAACAACCGTAGTAAAATATAATATTATCGAAGTCTTTCTTCTCTTTTAGAGTCCAGATGGAAACCAAAAAGTTAGTGGTTATAAAAAAGAAAAATACATTTACAAAACAACCAGCGAGGATATTACTCCGGACAAAATACGAACTCAAAATAGTATAAATCAACTAGATAATTTGTTAGATGATCTTCAACAAGCGAAGAAATCTTCGTTTTTGGACACAGGTAAACACATTTTTCAGTATTAAAATGATCTTTAAAAATTTTCTTATAAAAGATATGTTAGTATAAAAACCCTATCGGGCTACATGATCAGTGCTATCCTAAAATAAGTACAACCACTTTACAGAAATTTGGTTTGTTTGTGAAGAAAAATAAAAATAATCAGAAAATATAGGTTTTTGCACCATAGTGCCATAAAACCTAGACATAAGTCCCATAAAAAATTATAAACAATAAATTTGAATTGCACGCACTTGGAGGTTTCTCCACGCATTGCCTTTCATTTCGCTGTGCTAGTTTCAAAAATTCACTAAATGCTCAAAATCATTCAATTCTGTCTCTACAGCTTGTACTAAATTGCATTTCAATTTTCTTTGGCAGTTTCATTTTCTATAATGTTCAATAATGTAGTTATTGAAACTTATGGTGGCGACCACCTAACAAGTCAAATCCACTCACTCATCAAAGACATATGGCAAGAAGAGAAAATACCAGCGGCTCCAACCACTAGCAGAAAATATTATTGAAGAGTATCAAACGGGCTTTCGACTGGGAAGATCGACACTGGATCAAATATTTACAGTCAAACAGATCTTCAGTAAATCATGGGAACATGACATTGATGTTCACAACGTGTTTGTAGATTTCAAACAGGCATACGACTTAGTCAAAAGGAACAAACTCTACAATATATTGGCTGAATTGGCAATACCACGCAAGCTAATTGGGACTTATTATATACAGAATTAAAAAATTAAAAAGATTCAATATCTGGGTCATATAATGAGGAGCTAGAAGTACGTACTACTTAGGTTAATTATGCAAGGGAAGATACAAGGAAAGAGAAACCCAGGAGGACGCAAAATATCCTAGCTAAGAAATCTGAGAGAGTGGTTCTGCTACAGCTCATTAGAATTATTCAGAAGCGCGGCCAATAAAATTAAAATAGCGATGATGATTTTCAACCTTCGATAGGAGAAGGAACCTGAAGAAGATATACAGAATACAAAACCACTGGACAGACTTTTTCAAAATTTTGCAGGGATTAAAGCAGAGAGATGGGCTGGCCCCAACTGTGTTTAACCTGGCACTGACGAATTCGATGCTTCTTCTTCTTCTTCTCGTGCCACTCCTAGCGGAGATTGGAAATCATCATGGCCACTGCGACTTTGTTAGCAGCGCGCCTAAAAAGTTCAATCGAACTACACCCGAACCATTCACGTAGATTACGAAGCCACGATATTTTTCTTCTTCCCACACTTCTTTTGCCCTTAATTTTGCCCTGCATGATGTTTCTTAAAAGTTCGTACTTTTCACCTCTCACAATGTGCCCCAAGTATTCCATCTTTCTAGTTTTTATCTCATTTAGAATTTCGCATCTTTTGTCTAAAGTTTGGAGTACTTGCGTGTTAGTGACGCGGTCCATCCATGATATTCTGAGAATGCGCCTATAGCACCACATCTCGAAAGCCTCGATGTTTTTTATGGTCAATTGTTTTAGTGTCCAAGCCTCAACTCCAATAATGCGATTAGGCAAATGCAAACTGGGCAAGGAAACCTACTGACCAACTGAACGGTTCAACAGGCCGCTTATGCCGATGATATTAATATTGTTAGCAGAACATCAACAGGAGCAAATAAAACATACGCAGAGTTAAAAATGCAAACAAAAAGGCTAGGTCTGGAAATTAACACAGAAAAAACAAAAATATTGTTATAGACGAGAAGAAATACGAAAAAGGATAACGCAGGCAAACAAAGCTTATTTTGCCCTCTCCTATATATTCCGGTCTAAAAATATCCGCCGAAATACAAAGATGAGAATCTATAAAACCTTAATTCGACCAATAGCATGCTATGGCAGTGAAACATGGGTCCTGCAAGCAACATCCAAAAGCAAACTCATTCGAAAGGAAAGTACTGAGGAGTAGGTATACTAGGACTCATGAGGTAAAACGAAATCTTCAAAAGTCGATACAACGAAGATTGCAATGGGCCGGACATGTGATAAGAATGGGAGAGGACTACCAAAAAGAGCACTGGATGCTAGAATGCAGAAGAAAGGACCGGTTTAAAAGCCAAGAAAGCGCTGGAAAGACACAGTAAACAGTGACGCACAAGCCCTTTTAGAAGTCCGTATATGGAGAAGATCAGCCACGGAGAAGCAAGGGTGGAGGCAAAAAATAAAGAGGCCAAGGTATAATTTGGACTGTAGTGGCGTAGAAGAAGAAAAAGAAGTTATTGAAACTACTTTATTACATTATTTCTTATTTTGGTTTCTTCTATATTCTTTTCTCCTCTCTATAAAGATAAAGTATATTAAAATTATTTCTATTAATTACTTCAGAATCCTGATCATTTAAAAATATCATATTTCGAATGTAGATATTTATGAAACTTGTCGATTTTTGCGTTCAACGTTTATAAAACTGACTGTACATTCTAAAAATACTTTATTTGTTTTGCAGAGACTTATAATAGCACTGGATCCGATCCAAAGTATCAGTAAGTATTGTTTCACATTATTTTTGCAAAAAACTCGGTCAAAAAATTATGTTGATGTATGAAAGTAAACATTTTAACATATTTATTTTGAAAACTCACATAATGGCGCCTAAAATTATTAGGAAATGTATTTCCATTTTACCACCGGATATATAAATTAATGCCCTGCGTCTTTGCTGGATAATATTTAAAGAGAAAAAAATTACTAAGAACTAAGACTGACTCCAAACCAACATTCATACTGCTTCCCAAAAAAGCCAATGCAAAGGAGTGCAATGAACATCGCACCATAGCCTTAATGAGTCATGTCTTGAAATTGTTTTTAAAAGTAATTCACAATAGAATACATAAGAAATTAGATGAAGGCATAAGTAATACACAAATGGGATTTAGGAAAGGACTGGGAACACGAGATGCACTGTTTGCATTAAGTGTTCTTTCGCAGAGATGCTTAGATATTAATCAGGAAGTATATGCCTGTTTTATTGATTTTGAGAAGGCATTTGACAGAGTGCAGCATAATCGACTTAAAGAAATTTTGTTAAATAAAAACATAGATAGTAGAGGCATTAGAATCATCTGTAACCTCTATTGGAATCAAACAGCAAAAGTGAAAGTTGAAAACGAACTGACCAAGGATATCTAGATTCGCCGTGGGGTCCGCCAAGGGTGTATTTTATCACCCTTGTTATTCAATTTATACAGTGAAGCCATCTCAGAATTAGCGCTTGCCGAGATCAGTGAGGGCCTTATAATAAACGGTGAGCCACTTAATAACATAAAATATGCTGACGACACCGTTCTTATGGCAAGAACACTAGAAGAACTGCAATACCTTGCTGAACAACTAAATATATATTGCAACGATTATGGACTAAAAACCAATTTGAAGAGAACCAAGTTCATGGTATTTACAAAAGCACAAAACATTAAAGTTAAGCTAGTACTAGATAATACAGAAATTGAACAAACATCCTCGTACAAATACCTTGGAGCATGAATCACAGAAGATACTGATCAGACAAAAGAAATAAGAGGCCGCATTGAAATTGCGCGGTCAACTTTGGTAACTCAATGTTATATTTTCTCTACCCTTTTGTATGGAGTTGAAGCTTGGACAGTTAAAAAATCCAACATTAAAAACCTAGAAGCATTCGAAATGTGGTGTTACCGACGTATTTTGAAAATATCATGGATGGATCGCAAAACAAACGAACAAGTTCTCGAACAACTAGGAAAACAATGCAAAGTTTTAAATTCCATAAAAATCAGGAAATTGGAATACTTGGGGCACATCATGAGAGGTGAAAAGTACGAACCACTAAGGAATATAATGCAGGGTAAAATCAAAGGTAGAAGAAGCGTAGGAAGACGTAAAATCTCGTGTCTACGTAATCTCCGTGAATGGTTTGAATGCAGTTCAATTGAACTATTCAGGCGAGTAACCAATAAAATTATAATTGCCAGAATGATTTCCAATCTCCGATAGGAGTGGAACTTGAAGAAGAAGAACTAAGAACTGGAACGATCATCAACTCGTATCCAAATGGCATTTTACAACTCACAGTGGCACCCTAATTCTTTCTACAAATAATGATTTCTCTCCTATAACAAAATATAACTTTTTGTTGAATGAATCCTTTATCTTATCTATACATTCTTTTCATTTATAGATCACCTGGCTCTTCCGCGAAACTATTTTTTCAGAACCTGTTATATTTGTTAGACGACCTGTTATATCTATTAGACGCTGACTTACTTAATATTAATTACGCTGTTGCTTGTGCTATCCAATGATTCTTGGTTGATATATTTGAATCTTATGGTTTCACAATGAATGTTAATTCTCCTACAAGAGTTACTAAAACAACTTCTACCATAATTGATATATCGTCTCAGATTGCTCACACTTTGATGTACGTTCTACAATTATCAATGCAAGACTCTCTGACCATGAAGCAGTATATACCAAGTTTAACACTCTTAACAAACAATCCTCCAAAACCCAACGTGTAGGTAGAATTTTTTCTGCTCAGAACTGTCGTAAATTCCAAAATTTGTACTTGACTTCTAGATGGCACTTTCCCTCGTTGGACGTGGACTATAATTTTAGTGACTTTTTAAATAAGCCTGTATTTTCAATAAGGCATCTCCTTTAATTACAATTAAGTCAGAACATCACAAACCCTGGTACCAAAGGTATCAGCCAAGAATATGAGTTCACTACTGTACATCAAGACATTTACTACCAACGTCTTTGTCACTGAATATATCTCCAAGCACAGAGGAACCTATCTAAAACTTATCAAAACAGCTAAAAAAATGTACCATGAGAATCATCTGGCAAGCTCTAAAAATGTTGCAAGGGAAACTTGGTCAATAATAAACGATCTTCGAAATAAAACTAGACCAGACAGACAGACAGAGACAGACAAGGGTGGAGGCAAAAAATAAAGGAGGCCAAGGCTCATTTTGGGCTGTAGTGCCGTAGAAGAAGAAGAAGAAATAAAACTAACACAACTCAAACATTTTCTCTTCCAAACCCTGAAAATCTAAATGAATACTTCGTTAATGTGAGTAAAAATATAACATTAGCTATTTTGCCACAACAAGATCCTTTGTCCTATCTCCCCAATTCAAAAAAGGCCCGAATTCATTCTTTATAAGACCAGTTGATAAATCTGAACTGATCCAAAGAATCAGTAGTATCAAAAGCAAATCTTTCTGTAGTACTGATGGACTATCCATAAAAATTTTCTTAAATCTTCCAAATAGTGTGTTGGAAGTCCTGGTCTCACTAATTAACGATTCCTTTAAAAAATCTATATTTGCAGAGTGCCTAAAGACAGCCTTATAAAAGTCCGATTTATGTTCTTTTAAAGCAAATAATCCTGACTATTGTACTTTTTCCTTGCTAGTTTATTAGCAACGAATAAAACAGCTATTGTAACTATAACACTTATAACATCATGCATGACATCTGAAAGAAAAAAGAATCCTTCTACGATGGACATGGCTTCAAATTGAAATCTTGCGGATATGAATGACTAATTTTCTAATATTAATTATGATATGATCATAATGCACAAACTGGACTTAATATATAAAAAACATTTCTTGCAGAAGCTCTATATCGAAGAAATCTATTAATAGAGAACTCCACTACGGAGATACACCTCGAAGCAGCACCAGAAGCCGAACCCTTGAAAGAGACGGTACGCTACAGAGGGATGTGGAGTACATCAGCGAAGGTAAACTCTTTCTATTCAAATATATATGTAATTTTTTTGTTATCTGCTACTAAACACTATTATACAAGCGACATATCTCAAAAATTCGCTATAGGTAACAAACTGCAATCACTGCAGTGTTATTTGTCTAAGTTTTTTCGATCCAGGATGGAAAATAATACGCTATCGATTGTATCGCTATTAGACTAGGCGGGATCTGTAGAGATTCAGACCATAATGGACATTTTCCATAGGAATATATTTTTTTTGCTAGAATCAATCCCTTCAGGATGTGCCCAGTATCGATAATCACGATATGCGCCAGTCGCAAACCCTGTGCTAAATTTTTTATTTAACAAAGTCTGAAAACAACTCCTTTTTTTTGCTCCTATTTTCGTTTATAATTCGGAAAATATTGATCCTAGAGAAAAAATTATAAGAAGTTAAAAGTTTCGTTATTCAATTTTACACAATATTTCGTTAGCTAGAAATGGAAAATTTAATGTTTATTGTTGAAAAAATGGCAATAATTGGAAAAAAAGTAAAAAAAATGAAGTTAATCCTTTAAATGTTTTCGACTTTCTAAACTTGACTTACAAGCTCCATATTCTGCCTAAAAAAACTTTTTAATATGTTTAAAACGTGTGCTAAATTTTGTTAAGATCATTCGGATAGGTTTTGCATAATAATTTTGCAATTTAGCCTACTGCAAAAAAATCGCAAATTTTCAAATTTATAGTAGGCCCTAAATAAGGCCCTCAGATAGTTGCAAATTTCTTTACATATAAATGAAGGCTCAAATTTTCAAATGCTTTTTGTAAAATTCAAATCAGTTTACTAGGAGAACCAAGAACATTTTTTAAAGTTTTAAAGATTTTTTAGGCTTATAAACAATTTGAATAACTTTACTAGCTTTAAACATATCAATTTCAAAATTTATACACTTAAAAGATGCTTCTTTAAAAAAAAAGATACAGACTGGTTGCTGAGATATTAAAGGTCAAAGTTGGCATACATTTGCCATGTAACCATAAGTGATAGAGGGCTCGTTTTTAAACAAATACCCTCGTCTTGTCAAGTATATTGATAAGTTTTACGTAATGCGCTTCATGGCAACATCCATAAAAAAGACAAATAAAAAACTGTTTTCGCGTAAAATGTCGCTCGGAATGCATGAGAGGTGGTGGTGGGGGACATTCACTCGAAATGTGAATCGGCGAGTTCAAAATCATAGCGCGCGCTAAAAATTGCATTATCTCGGCTTCTTGTTAACCAATTTTGCTCTTTTTTTTGAATCGATGTTTCGGACGACAAGGATATTAAATAACATATTTTCAAATACCATTTTTAATTGCAAATTGGGAAATTCGCAATAAACAATTGTATGTTAAACAAGAAATTGCATTTTTTTTTAAATAGGAGCAAAAAATGAGAATTTTCAATTGTTTTTAGATTTTGTTAAATAAAAAATTTAGCACAGGGTTTGCGACTGGCGCATATCCTAATAATTATCGATACTGGGCACATCCTGAAGGGATTCTAGCAAAAAAATAGCTTCCTATGAAAAATGTCCAATCCAAAACAGATCTCGCCTAGACAATATGGAATTGACTGAAGCCAAACAAGCACCAAAAAGGTTGCCAGGTCATATTTTGTTTCTTCATAGATTGAGAATAATGGATATATATATATATATATATATATATATATATATATATATATATATATATATATATATATAATGTCTCCATTATATAGGAGATACTTCGAGAAACAATTGTAGTGTGATTGATTAATGTTTTTTGTCTGTTTAAAATTGACTAAGGAAATCAGGCTTTGTCTTAATATATTGTATATAAAGTTTTATATTTTATATTATATTAATTTTAAAGTGGCGAAGCATTACAAGTTTATTGGTTAACTTTTTTATTTATAATTGAACACTGGACATAATGATCATTTTTTGAACATAATTTTATTATTACATATTTTTTATTAGATCGATATAATGTTTTAGTAAATCATTAGGTTGAAGTTGAAATTAGTAGATCTACTAAAAAATCAATAGACCTGGTAACACTGCGAGAAATAGTAATGGGCAACGTACAGGCACCAAAACATGGCGGTATCATCGAAACTGGCTTCACTTTTCCAAGGTTTATTAAATGAGTGTTGCATATACTCTCTCTTTCTTTGTCTAATCTGTAACCTATATTGGGAAAACAACTAATGTTTACATTTTTTAGATATGGCAGATGTGAAACTTCTCATTTAAATTCAATTTTTTTTTGACATAGAAAATAATGAACAAAAAAAATATAAAACCCAAAAGGTTTGGGAAAAATTGTTACAAAAAATATATTTTTCTTTTACAGATATTGAATATGGAATTTCTATCACGTAGAACTTTCATATTTGTCTTATTTAAACAACTTTTCCAGGTACTTACAGCGATACTCGCACAAACCGTCCAGTTTCCCCAGCTGTCACCTCCAGAACCTCAACTCTAAGCAAACAGACCAAAGTGAACAACATACACGAGTATCCCGTCGAGGTTATCGAAACAGTCACTCCAGAAATAGATCCTGAAGTGCTGGCCCACTTGGACCCTAATTTAAGACCTCCCGGTAACACTAAAGTTACCACCACCATCAAAACTTATACTTACGAAATTCCCGGTTCTGGAGACTTTCCTACGAACGTCAACGACTCTACTGAACAAAAATATGTTTACTCGCCTAACAAATCTATAACCACGCCGAGCAAGAGTTTTGTTTATAATAAAGTCGAGAACAAAGAGAATACCGTCGTGCACCAGGATAACTATCCTCCTTATCAAAAACCAAGTCCTCCAGGTAATAAACAAGTACTTGGGTGCTTTTCAGAGTTGCTTGTGGTTTGTGTTTTCTTCAACATCGATCAACTTGCATGTCTATGCATCATCTACGTCACTACTTTTACGTGTATGTTTTTTACCTTTAGAATAGTCTATGCACATTCTTATCACAGCAAGTTATTTTAGTACACCTTCACAGCTTTGGAGCAGGTCACGTTTTTCTTCATTATCTTCACAGTATAGAAATATGTATCAAAAAATAAACGAAACTATCATTTACATTGATAAGGGTTTTCATTCATTTTCAAAACTACTGTACAAAATTTGGAACAGTCGAATACATTACAAAATAGTCCAAATGACTGTATAGTAGCGATGTTGCTTAATAAGTTTTTATCATTCGATAAGAGAATTTTTTGCGATTTTATAGTTGGAAATTGTATAACTTTTTTGACTCAATATAATCTTCCTAAACTTAAGTAAGCTTAAAAATAAAAAGTAAGTAATTTTTTTTTCAAATTTAATTCTCCGGCGCTACTGAGTGTCTCATGTCACTTTGGAATCTCTTTTACCGATTTTTTATAAAAGAAAAAAAGAGGTTAGTCTTCGTAAATGGGTATATTTATTTAAAAAACCCTTAAAAGGGCTACATCAAAAAAACAAACGTTTTCGGACTAAACAGTCCATCATCAGGTTTAAAATTGCCTAAAATAAGTATAAACCATTTAGTTTAAGCAAACGTGGTTATTTTTAAATTTTGACTAGGGTTTAAAAGCAAAAATGGTTATACTTACTAGGTTAAAATGCCTGAGCCACCAAAATACCCGGGTAAAAACCCTTTAAATTACATGTAGTATTCTCTACACTATCGTCACACCTTCCCCTCTCAACAAAATTTTCGACCCTATTGTGAACTTCAGAACCATCCATGTCTATCATACCAGAATATTTCTCCATTTTCTCCATTTTTCACATATACATAACATTCCTGTGCATTCTTTTCTCTTTCATTATTTCTTGGTCAACTCATATATCAAACATGTTGTTTTAATACACAGTTATAGTTTTAAACACAGTAACCATTCAAAAATTATCCAACAATTTATCAGAATTCATAATTTCCCCTATTACAAAAAATCCTAATCAATCATTGCTCACCTTCTCTTGGTCAACAACTTAGTAGTACACTCATACATCAAATTTTAGGTTTTTATAAACCGAATTTAATACTACCAAAATAGATTTTGTTCAGGGTGCTAGATGCTATAAGCATTAAGGACCTCTATGATCTCTAATTGTTGAGTAACTCTTCCTCTCCTTTAACTGTCCCCTTCTTCTTCAGTCATTTCCTTTACTTTTATTCTCATCAAGTCTCTGAGGAGCTCAGCCTCTTCAATTTTAAATTTAATCACATATGTTATAACTTTAATTTCTTCAGCCAGTAGATTTCTAACCCCCATTTTTCAATTTATTAAGCTTACTTTTACTAACTTTTTCACCATACGTGCAGTCTTAAACAAAGTCATTTAAATACGAGGTCTTATATTAGCTTCAAATATTTACTATTCAAACTTTACCTTGTCCTAGATGTGATAAACATAAAAGGATAATTTAACATAAAATACACTTTTAGACCACATTCCATACGACCAAAAGTAACATAGGTTGGCTAATGCACATGTCATTCTCTTAAACATGACTTTAACACCAACGGTAATTCTACATCTTTTATACCCTACCTTAATAAATAAAAAGTTAGTTACTAATATAGTTTCATGTTCCATTGACATTTTGTTTTCGACATCGTTCATAGGTATCTTGTCAATCAGTTACCAGCTGTAGTCCGTTTGAAGAGGTTCACTCTCTGGACACTGGAATTCACTTCAAACATGTTACCTGAAGTCAAATTCAATTAAATATTAAACATTGCATTTTAGTGACAACAATATGTACAATCTTTAACAAATACATGTAATTTAAAGGGTTTTTACCCTGGTATTTTGGTGGCTCAAACATTTTAACCTAGTAAGTATAACCATGTTTGCTTTTATCCCTATTCAAAGTTTAAAAATAACCACGTTTGCTTTAACTAAATGGTTTTTACTTATTTTAGGCAATTTTAAACCTGATGATGGACTGTTTAGTCCGAAAACGTTTATTTTTTTGATGTATCATTTGTGTAGCCAATTCCTGTAGGCTTCAGCTACAGGAATTGTTTTCCTTGTGGATTTTGATTTTTTATAACTTTTAAATGCGCAGCATGATTTCCGTCGCAGGTTAACTTAAAAGGCCCAATTGGACATACATCACTTCATCATCATCATTCTGGCTTCACAATCTGCGTGGGTACTAACCTCCTCAAGAATTTCTATCTATCTATCTATCTTAATATGTTTTACGATATCAGGTTTCTATTATATTCTATAAAGTTTGAAGTTGTATTGTCTTCTCCACATCTTGGTACTTGTCTTTCGAAACGTCCTAACATGTTTTCATTATTTTTTGTTAGAGTCCATGTCTCTGAACATGTTAGGACTGGGCGTATTATTGTTTTGTAGATTTTTATTTTTGTATTTTTCGATATAATTGTGGATTGAAGGAGGAGATTGAGTCCTAAATAGCATCTGTTCTTCTTCTTAAGGTGCTTTCTCCATTACTGAAGGTTGGCTATAACTACAGAAAATTGCTCTCTATCTTGAGCTGTTCATAGTATCGAATGTATGTCCATGCCTGTCCAGTATCTTACAAGACAGCTCAAATATGAACAGCTTTAAATAAACAAAATGACCTGACAGATTTACATAAAATTTCACACGGGTTCATTAAATAGTATTGCCAACTTTAAACAAATAAACCGATGAATCAGATAGCGCCATCTCTTATCGAATTTCAATACTTATTAAATAACCTATTAAATAGTTGCAAGATAGTGATTTGATAAGTAAAATAGAAGATAAATTTTTATAAATTATTTATGAACAACTCTTATGTGCAGTTTTATAACTCAAGCATTTTTGTAAATGTTGTATAAAAAAATATGTATTATTTTTAGCTATACTTTCTATTTAGTTTTGCTTTATGTACATTATTTGCATGTAATGACTGTTTTGTACAAACCATGTAAGTATTTTCAAGTAGTGCAATGAGTAGATTAGTAGGTATCTAGAAGCATCATCAATATCTATAACTTGTGCAATATTTGATAAATACTAATTGTTTAATATTTTTTTCTAGGAGGTGTCTTAGTTAAAGAAACCATCACCACTCGCAACTATCAACCGGGCTACAGGGTTGATAAAAATCCACCAACTACAAACCAAACATACATATACAACGAGACCAACACCACCACGAAGAACATTGATAACGGATACCCACCTGCACCTCCACCGCCACCAGCCCAAAATACATATATACTTAAAGAAACTACAACGAACGTGAACAAAAGTGAGCCTCCTCCAAGAAGCTATCCCCATCAACCTGGAACAGAGACGTACATTTTGAAGGAAACCCATAATACTAGTGTAAATGATTATCCCCAACGCCCTGAGCCTTATCAACCTGGTAAATCGACGTATATTATCAAGGAGACGCACAATACAACTGTTAATGATAGATATCCTCCTCCTCCTCCTCCTCAACAGCCAGAGAGCTATCCTCCAGGAAGGGAGACATATATTATTAAAGAAACTCATAATACCACTGTTAACGATAGACCGTACTCAGAGAGGGGATATCCTGTTTACAATCCACCTGATGAGTAAGTATCTCGTACTTTAACTTTTATTAATCCAGCAATAATATATACTAAAGCTCGATATAAATGCTGACTCCAAAAGAGATTTTTTCTCTTTTTTGATTGACAGTGTTTGCTACTTTTTTTGAGTTATTTAAAATGTTTTCTTCTATTTTCAGTTTTTTGTATTCTCCCATCAGCACTTCATATTTATTTCTAAACTTATCGATATTAGTTTTTAAAATATCTTGTAAATACATCTCATTACGAAAATAAAAGTGTTCTAGGTGCTCCACAACAATTTGACTCAGAAAAAATGGTTAATGAGAAGTGTGAGATTTTGGCCCAATGGATCAAGAATTCTAAACAATACAGTTCTCCACACTGGTGCATGGATAAGTACATCTGCTGGTATACCAGATTTTAGGGGTCCTAAAGGTGTTTGGACGTTAGAAAAGCAAGGAAATATTTCGTTTAATGAAGCAATTCCCACCCCAACACACATGGCCATTAAGCATTTGTTGGACAGTAATATTATTCATTACTTAATAAGTTAAAATATAGATGGACTTTATGTACAGAGTGGTGCTTCCAAAAAAGAAATTGCTAAATTACATAAGAATATGTTCATTGGTCAATGCAACATTTAAAAGCCAGTTCATTAGACCACAAGCTACCTCAAGTGTGACGTACTTGTAGAGGTAAATTATGCGATACCATTCTAGATTGGAGACAGTTTGCCGGAATATGATTTGGAAATGTCCAATTATCATTCCAGTCTAGCTAACTTAAATATTTGTTTGTACCACCACCATTTGTTTGTAGGATACCACCCTTCAGATAGTTCCTAGTGGTAATCTACTTCTTCGATGTAAAACATATGGCGAAAAAGTAGCTATATTGAATCTCCAACCTACCAAACATGATAAAACGGTAGATTTCATTGTCAATAGCTATGTAGATGACGTCATATCAAACATAATGAAAAAACTAGGTCTCGAAATTCCTGATTATTCTACTGAAGTGGATCCCACCAAAAACCAACTATAATGTTCTATGATTGAGTGGAATATTTTAAAAACTAATATCGATGAGTTTAGAAATAAATATGAAGTACTGGTGGGAGTACTAAATATGAAGTACTGAGGACTGGACACAATCACTATATATTCCCATACATAAAAAGGAAGCGAAAGATTTATGTAGCAACTATCGCACAATTGCTCTAATTGCGCATTGCAGTAAGATACACATAATTCTCGAGAGGATAAAGCTCATTGCGGAGGAACAAGCAGGTTTCGTCCCCGGACGTGGTACTAGAGAACAAATTTTAAACGTACGGCAGATTGTAGAAAAATCCAGAGAATTCAACATCGCAACATATTTGTGCTTCATAGATTATAGTAAACCTTTCGATTTGGTCAACTGGAGTAAAATGTGGCAGGTTTTGTCTGAAATGGGAGTCCTCAATCATTTGATACTGCTAATTAGAAGCCTGTACAATAACAATTATGCCAGAGTTAGAATAAATGGGGAACTAACCGATAGTTTCAGGGTCACAAAGGGTGTGAGACAAGGCTGCATACTAAGCCCAATTCTATTTAACATCTATGGTGAATGGATAATGCGGAAAGCTACTGAGGACTGGAACGGTGGCATCACCATTGGCGGGAAGAAGATTTGCAACTTGAGATATGCAGATGATACTACTATCCTCGCTAGTTCCGAAGCTGAATTGATTCACCTGCTACAACGGATAGAAGACGTAAGCTTAACGATGGGCCTTAAAATAAACAGAGATAAAACGAGAATCATGATAATTGACAGAGCTAACAACAATCAAAATCATCTGGTCATGATAAACAATATCGCTGTTGTAGATAAATTTGTGTATCTGGGCTCATTAATAACCAACAAAGAAGGCTGTACTGAAGAAATAAAGCGGCGGTCAGCAATCGCAAAAAGCGCTATGGCAAAATTAACAAAAATTTGGAAAAGCCATGAAATAACTACCGATACAAAAATGAGACTAGTAAGAAGTCTAGTTTTTCCAGTTTTTACTTATGCATCGGAATGCTGGACCCTTACTGAGAAAGACAAAAAGAACATAGATGTATTTGAGATGTACTGCTGGAGACGAATGCTGAGAATACCATGGGTGGCCCGAAGAACAAATGAATCCATACTGGACCAGCTAAACATAAAGAAAATACTAAGAACACAAATATCAGAGCAAATAATAAACTATTTTGGACACACGATACACGGACCATATTGTTGCTACCATTGGCGCTCCATTGTCAGAATGTGCTAGAATGGCAGAAGATAGAAAAACGTCGAGGAACATTGGGAAATTTAGCTAATAGCTTCATGATATCACGATACCTGCATCAGGTGAACGACTAAGAAGAAGAAGAAGAAGACTGGTGGGAGAATACAAAAAACTGAATATAGAAGAAAATATTTTGAATAACTTAAAAGAGATAGCATCTAGCAGAAGTAATTTGTCATTTCTGTTGTTGACTGTTTTTAATAGTATTAAATAGAATTATCAATAAATGATTTAAAACTTATAATAATCTGATGATGAAACTCATTGATTTTTACGATTACTGGAAACTTTTATTTCAGACGAAATCCTCCTCGTACCACCTACATCTATGAGGAAACCACCAACACAACTACCAGCAACCGACCTGGTTCCCCATACCAAAACGGATATCCACCCACTGAACCTCCAAAAACGATTGTCTACAAACATGAAACCCATACCACCAATAACACGTATGATCCCAACAGACCTAGACCAGACGTCGAGACATTTGATCCCAATAATCCTCCTTACGGATTTAAGAAACATCCAAACGAACCGATAAATATTCACTACTCTTACAAATCAACAAGTAAGACCGAAAACAATTATAAAGGAGGATATCCACCTAATGGTGAGACAGAAAGTCTGTTGCCCAAGAAATTCCCAACTCACGACGGACCTGATGGACCTCCCAAGAAACTGGACGAGCTTATGGCCACAATAGGACGTGAGGTAATGTTTTATGTATTATAGAAATTCTTTTATTTTATAGATTCACCCTACAAAGTCTGTTAAATATATTAAAAGAAAATTAACCTGTAACAATAAAACACTAAAAACTTTGTTTTCAAACTTCCACAAAATTTATTTTAAATATTATCACCACAGCTGTTTCGGCTGATTGCCTTTCTCAAGTGATCTATTTTGGCTTGGGTTTACAAATTTATAGTCTCTAATGAAATAGGTTGAGGAGGGGAGAACTGTTTGTCTCAAGTTGGTCATTCAGAATTATATCTGTGTTTTTTAATTTGTTGATTTCCATAGATTCTAACAAAGATAGCTTAAGGCCTTTATTTTGAATGTGAAGAATTTTAAATTTGTCATTATAAGAATGATTATGATCTAGAAGGTGAAGTGCGTATGTCGAATCTGTTTTTCTATTCTTGAAAGCCCTTTTATGTTCTGCTATTCGTTTATCAAAGTTTCTACCAGTTTGACCGATGTAAGTTTTTGGGCAGTCGCCACATTGAAGTTTGTACACACCACTATTTAAGTGTTTTTTATTTTGGCTCTTGTTATTTTTAATATATTTGCTTAGGTTGTTATTTGTTTGGAAAGCTGGTGTTATTCCTTTCTTTTTTATGTATTTGGCAATTTTTGTTGTTATTTTGCCTGTATATGTAATCAAGCAGAAGGTACTGGGTTTTTTCTCTGGTGGTGGAAATACTAATTTCAGGGCTTTCTTGTATAGTTTTTGATTTAACATTTTATTAATTGTTTGTTCGTTGTATCCGTTGTTTACTGCTATCTGCTTAATTATATTTAATTCTGTCTCAAAGTTGTATTTTGACATCGGAATTTCTGTTAATCTATGTAACATACTATGATAAGCTGCCAGTTTATGTTGTGTTGGATGGGATGACGAATTGTGTATAGTCGTGTCAGTATGGGTAGGTTTATGAAATATGGAGAAGTCATGTTTGTTTTGAAGTCTGCTAATTTTTAAATCTAAAAAATTTATGGATTGATTTTGTTTCACTACACACATCTGTAGTGAATTCTTAGAGAAACTAAGAATTCCTGTTACAAAGAGAATAAAACAACAATTTCAATTAAAAATAAATCAATAGAAAACAACATTGTGTTTACAAAAGCAGACAAAGGTAACACTACTATTGCTATAGATAAAATAGAATATAATAACAAAACAATAGAATTTTTAAATAATCAAAATATTGAAACTTTACACAAAGATCCGACAGAAAAATATCAAAAACAAATTAAGCTAGCGTTAGAAAATTCAAAATCAATACTAAATCCAATAGAACAGAAATACCTCAGTATCATGAACCCACAGCCTCCTAAATTATATTCTTTCATTAAACTACACAAACCAGATCACCCAATAAGACCTGTAGTATCTTTTTATACAGCTCCGTCATATAAAATTTCAAAAAAACTGTTAGAGATTATTTTAGACCACACTAAATTTTCACCTAAATTTACCATAAAAAATACAATAGAACTAGTTAATAAAATACAACATTTTCAATTACCTAACAACTCCAGATTAATTTCATTTGACGTAAAAAATCTTTTTCCTAGTATCCCTCCTACAGAAACTTTTATTCTAGTAAAAAAACCTTTTAGACCAAAATAGTACAAATCCAATAATTACATCTGAAATTTTACACCTTCTTGAAGTTTGCATAAACCAGGACTACTTTGATTTTAATAATAAAATTTATACAAATAACAGTGCAGGACTTATAATGGGTAATCCTCTAAGCCCATTGCTATCAGATATTTTTATGGATCATCTAGAGACAAATATTTCAAAACATCCCGTATTCAAACAGTTTTTATATTGGTGGAGATACGTAGACGACGTACTGGTATGTTTCACAGGAACTAACAGGCAACTCGACCAATTTTTATCATATATTAATTCACTTCATAGTCATATTGAATTTACAATAGAAACAGAACAAAATCAATCCATAAATTTTTTAGATTTAAAAATTAGCAGACTTCAAAACAAACATGACTTCTCCATATTTCATAAACCTACCCATACTGACACGACTATACACAATTCGTCATCCCATCCAACACAACATAAACTGGCAGCTTATCATAGTATGTTACATAGATTAACAGAAATTCCGATGTCAAAATACAACTTTGAGACAGAATTAAATATAATTAAGCAGATAGCAGTAAACAACGGATACAACGAACAAACAATTAATAAAATGTTAAATCAAAAACTATACAAGAAAGCCCTGAAATTAGTATTTCCACCACCAGAGAAAAAACCCAGTATCTTCTGCTCGATTACATATACAGGCAAAATAACAACAAAAATTGCCAAACACATAAAAAAGAAAGGAATAACACCAGCTTTCCAAACAAATAACAACCTAGGTAAATATATTAAAAATAACAAGTGCCAAAATAAAAAACACTTAAATAGTGGTGTGTACAAACTTCAATGTGGCAACTGCCCAAAAACTTACATCGGTCAAACTGGTAGAAACTTTGATAAACGAATAGCAGAACATAAAAGGGCTTTCAAGAATAGAAAAACAGATTCGACATACGCACTTCACCTTCTAGATCATAATCATTCTTTTAATGACAAATTTAAAATTCTTCACATTCAAAATAAAGGCCTTAAGCTATCTTTGTTAGAATCTATGGAAATCAACAAATTAAAAAACACAGATATAATTCTGAATGACCAACTTGAGACAAACAGTTCTCCCCTCCTCAACCTATTTCATTAGAGACTATAAATTTGTAAACCCAAGCCAAAATAGATCACTTGAGAAAGGCAATCAGCCGAAACAGCTGTAGTGATAATATTTAAAATAAATTTTGTGGAAGTTTGAAAACAAAGTTTTCAGTGTTTTATTGTTACATAAAATGAATTTCCATCAAGTAACGGTCGAATCCATCAATTATTCATAATTAACCTGATTTTTTATGGTACTTACATCTCCACCAATTTTTAGAATCTTCAAATATCTATATAAGATTTTGTCCGTTTTTTTTCTTTATATTTAAATCTCTTTCTTTATAATTATACTACATTTTTTAACATTAATATCAAATATTGTGTTTTTTGTAGCCTCCAAACAGTCCATTAAACGCAGGCTTCCTTCAGCACGAGGAAGAAAAGGCACACCAAAAGAAGGTAGACAGCTTGAAACAAAAATCAGAAGTGGAAACTTTACAAAAGAAAGAACCTCCACCAAAATCGAAGAACATCGCTGGACCTCCCGTATACTATCCACCAGGAGAAATGTTTTTGAAGAAAGAAGAAGGTGGCGAAGCATGGAGAGCACAGGTAACTTTTACAACTTTTGATTTCTGTGTGAAAATGTGGCTATTAATATTTTTTCTGATGCTCAAAATTTTTTTTCAGGGAGGATATGCCAGAGCTTCTGGCAAATACCAATACGAAGCTGAAAGCAGGAGCAAATCAAAATCGAGTAGTGGAGCTGCAGTTGTTCCCGTTTGTCTACCTTTGTGCTGTGGTCTTCCATGTACCCTCTTGTAAAAACCCCGAAGTGTCTTTCATATATGTTTTTAAATAAGAATTCACAAGTGCCTTGATTTTTTTAGACGGATATATGCATATTAAAAATGCGTACAAAACATTCAAAGAAGTATATTTTTGTACTAATTATTTCTGGTTGTATTAACTGACGGTACCAAAAATCATTATTATGTGAACGGATTTGATAGCATTCTTAGTTAGCGTTGAGTTTGAAAAAAATAACTAAAATTGTGGAACTATAATTAGAACCCTTGATCTTTACCTGTGCATTATCGCGAATGTAAAAAGTAACTTTTTCAACAGTAATAACTATTTTGTAGAGAATTCTCTTCTACAACAGTAAATTTCTAAGTAACCTGTCTTTTAGTAGCTGTAAATGCACCACTATTACAGATTCCTAAAAATGCGTGATTTTAATTTCATTATCACAAATATCACAAAATAAAAACTCAAAATGTCAGGTATAACAACTGTCTGATTTCTTTGGGTAATAAACTTAAATGTCACTTAATTTACAGTTTTTGTCACATTCAGAGATATTACAGTGAAATATTAATTCAAATCTACACGAATCTATTAAATATGTGACATTCACATATATTGGTTAACCTGCTACTTGATATTTTGAATTTTAATTTGTATTTGTATCTTTTGTCTATACTAAAAATGTATACTTGGTTGCCTATACTCGACAATGATGACAATTTGTGTTGCATACATCAGAAATACACGCTTTACGGAAAATATTATATTTGAATCACAGTATATATTTTATTGCCTTCAGCCTATATTCATAATGATAATTTCATTACCTTCAGAATCAAAACTGGCATCACTTATGTCACTTACCAAAACGTGGATATTTATGACGCAAAAAATGGGGCAAAAATTAAGACATACGGAATAGACATTTTTCAATTTTTCGTCTACTTTAAAACATTTTCTTACGCTATTGTTTAAAAAACATTTTTAAAATGTATCTTTTAGTTAAGTCGTTTGGAGAGCATTAAACAGATGTATTCTTAAATCATTTGTGCAATAAAAAAGCTTTAATAGTAACAGTGCAAAAATTACGTACAATAGTAACAGTAACAGTACAAATTGAAGAATTGAAACTTCTCATAAATCCATTTCTGGTTATATGAACTAATGTACGAATATTCTCAGTCATAGCTACTCCTGCCATCTATGGAATGTTCACCGTGTTATTTATTTTAAATTATAAAAGAGTTCTCATTGCTATTTAAAATCATTACCACAATTTTTGAGATAATGTGTATCTACGGGATTATGAATAGGTATGAATCTTGGTGCAATTATCTTATAGACAGACATTTGTACTAGGTACGTCAAAAATGTTTCTTGTATTAAGTCAGATTTTAATTATACACAGGTAAAGATCCACGGCCCCTATTATATAAAGAAAAACACGATACTTAAAAAAAGATGATTTGGAATACGATAATCAATAAGAAAACTTATGGGCTATTTTTATTCCCAGAACAAAAAATATAAGACTTTTAACATGAACAAATCCCTAAATAACACACGTCATGACAAACGTTTTATTTTCAATGTTTCTTATTTCATGGTGCTGCTATATTCTATATAAAAATACCTCAAAGTTACATTCACTTGATCAGAATCTTTAACCCATTTTTAAACTAATACTAACTACAAAACTATAAATGTAAAAAAAAACTAGGTTATTTCCACACATAGTTTTTAAAAATCTTAACCTATATAACTTATTAAAAATTGTAAAATTTGTAATTTTCTTAGTTTATGTTTAATGTAAATATATTTCGTGAAAGAGCTTTAAAAAATGTAATTTGTTTTACTCACAAATTGTTATATACAGAACTCGAAATACGATAATTATAGTCTTGCCTGTTAACAACAAAATGTGTCTAATAAATAATGTATTTTAATAAATAAGTTATTAAAAACTAGTTAATGTGTTTTTGTCTTCTTTATTCCTTCATTTTGGGATGGATCTTTATTTATAGTGGATAGATAAATGAATGCTTGATGTCTTGAAATTTTAAGCAAAACCAGTTTTAACTCTTAAGTGGTATCTATATCTGTAGAGTAGGGAAGGCGAGTTAAGTTCCACAGCACTTAGGCCACAATTGACCAATTGTGCATCCTCCCACGGAGCTGTCACCCTTAGCTCATTGTTCATCCTATCATTTCTAGGAAGGTGGACAAGTCACCAGGAGATATCCCTCATATGTGGGTAAGAACTCGCCAAACGCGTACTCTCGTATTAACGATAACTCCAGGCATTCACATAAGACATGCTCTACAGTTTTCGTCTTCTCGTTCACATAGAGGTGTGTCTGCTAGCCCAGTGTCTGAAGGTGTTTGCTTAGTTGACAATGACCAGTTAAAAAACCAGCTGTCAAGCGTAGGTTTTTCTTGGTCATCCCCAAATACTTCTTTGATGCTAACTCTTCAAGAATATTTAGTGTTGCCCTGGCAAGTTTACATCCTTGCCCTTCTTCCCATCTTTTTACGGTTTGCATATGGGAGTGACATTTGACAAGTTCCGCGATTGTTATAGTTGACCAACCAAAAAGATCTCCAGGTCCCAAGAGACTTAGGGTTGCCGCCTTCCTAGCCTATTGGTCAGCAATGGGGTTGCCTTTATTCCTATTGTGTCATTTAACTCACCTCAGGATGATGGTATTACCATCCGAAGCCTGAGTTAGTGACTTGTGACACTCCATTACTAACCCTGATGTGACACGTGGTCTATTCAAGATTAGTAGCTCTTGTCTGCTATCTGTGCAGATGTGTCATTATAGTTTTCCCTGCTATACCTTTTTGGGTTATCTGAGCCTTCTTTCATTTTGGAGCCATCGATGTATATGCAATAGGCATTTGCCACGTTTGCCTCCCTATATTGTCTTGTTTCGATTTGGTAGGGTTTCTTAAAGACAAACTTTGGTTCAATTGAATCGCAGCCGGTCTGTAGCAGTGGTAGCGCATCCAGCTCTCTCCGCCAGAAACGAGTTCTCAATTGTCCCATTCCTGCATCAAGATTTGCACCAGCTGAGCGCAGTCGCATCATTGTCACTAGCGCCATCTCTTTGACATATATATCTGGAGGCGTGATGCCAATGACCAACTCCATTGCAGCAGTTCGTATTGTTTTCATGGCACATGTTTGCTGAATATGGTTTAGTTTATTTATCTCTGTTGCCTGTAGCACTTTTGGTACCCAGCAATAGCTCCGTAAGTTAGCATTGGCCTAATGACAGCAGTGTAGACCCAGGCCATCACCCTGGGCGAAAGGTCCCAGGTACGTCCAACTGTTCGTCGACACTGCTCATAGGCGATATATGCTCTTTTAGCTTTACCATCTAAGTGTGAGTTCCATGTTAACTTCCTGTCAAGGGTAATACCAAGGTACCTCATCAGAAAATTTAGACTCTAGTTTAGAATCCTTGGGGGTATTAAGCCCGTGATTCTTCTTTTCTTCGTAAAGAGGACCATCTCTGTTTTCTTAGGATTTATAGATAGTGAGTGTTCCTTGCACCATGTTTCTATTAGTCGGAGAGCAATTTGTAATCTCTCACATAGCGTGTTCTCAAACTTACCGCTTTGCAGGACAGCAATATCGTCTGTATTGGCTATTATGTAGAAACTGTTACTGCTGAGTTGGTCAACCAGGGTATCTAGATCTATGTTCCAGAGGAGTGGTGATAGCACCCCACGCTGTGGACACCCCCTCGTAACCATGCCTCTAACAGAAACGTCTTCTACATGTATGCTTATTGCTCTATTGGAGAACATACTGAATATCCATTCGCTTACGGCCAGGGGGACATTTCTGACGTTAAGCTGTTGGGTGATGGTTCGGAATAGGGTTTTATCAAACGCTTCCTCGATGTCTGGATTCTTTATTATCCAGCGATCTTTTAATTATTCCCACTACATGATCAGTGCAGAATCAGTAGATCTTTTCGAAGTATATGCATGCTGATTTGGGTGAAGTGGGGTAAGGACTAGAACTTCATCCCTTATGTACCTCTCGCATAGCCTTTCCATCGTTTTCAACAGAAAGGATGTTAGGCTAATTGGTCGGAAAGACTTTGGTAGAGTGTAGTTCATCCTACCTGGTTTTGGTATGAAGACCACACGTACCTCTCTCCACTTCCTACGAATATATCTCAGAGCCAAAGAGGTTTTGAATATTTTCACGAGGTGCGGCATAAGGATATCAAGTCCCCACCGCAGTGGGGCGGATATATGCCGTCAGGCCCTTGTGATTTAAAAGGGGTGAAGTACAATATGGCACATTTTACCTTTTCCTCATTAATCATTGTTCTGGCGAGATGCCAATCGTTTATTGAGGTTATGATTCTTTCTTTCATCCAGTTTGGTGCTGTTGAGACACTAGAACCGGGAAAGTGTGTTTTCATCAGGACCTCAGCACTTTCGCAAAGGTTGGAAGTTTTGTTTTCATCTTCCTTCGTTAATATGCCAACATGCCGATGTGGGTCCTTGGGGAGCGCTTTTTGTAGCTGTAGATTTGCGGGAAATCTTCGATTTTCTCACAGAATGTTCTCCAAGCAGCTCCGTGTCTTTGTCTGCAGACTTTTTTAAACTATCTGAGATTTTATTGATAAGAATCCCAATCCTTTTTGAGTTTGGTGCGTTTTGCTGTATTAAAAGCTGTTCTTGTTATCTTCATAAGGTGTTCCAATTCAGTGCACCACGAAGAGTTGGTTTTGCGACTTTCCTGGGCCATCCTTGCTGTACCCTCAAGTGGTATTGTGGGATCCCAGTGGACCCCAGGACAAAGAATATGCGTTTTAGTTTTGCTACTAATTAATAGATGGCATTGTGACTTACAGAATGCCGTCTATAGGCAACTAAAATACCGCACCTGCAGGCCACAAACATAGTAATTGAAGACTGGAGTGGGCCAATCACTATATCATCATTATAAAAAACTTATACAGATGTAAAAAACTTAAAAATTTGTATATTGGTATAAAAACGTTTAATTAAAACTTGTTAAAAGTGTTGTCCAAAATTTACAGATGCATAATATTTTCGATCTAGCTCAGATCATCCTCCGTGCCTTCTTTTGGTACTTGTAGCTAACACTAAAATTGCAGTGAAGACATCAATATATGGTTTACACATTTAAATTTAAATTATAATGCGACCCTAGCTCGATGGCAATGGATGTAAATGTTAATACTTAAAGAGCAACATGCTTTATTGTTTGACTTGAATACGTGATTCTTGTCAGTTAAAACGACACATACCAACTGCTTTTTTTAACTATTGTATACAGCCAACAAATAGGATTTTCCCATCAATTTTATTATCACTAGACTGCCCTCCCAAGCACACAACAAAAACAATTTAAGTTTTTGAATGAATTAAATCACTTGGATCAAGGTTTCTAGCCGGTTGTGATTACAATTCGAAATATTCTTTTTAGTACTCTAGATTGATGAACCCACGTGGCAGACAACTACTTCAGGCAATTAATATTAATAACCTCAAAAGTTATTCTATAGGTGAATCTACATATTGGCCAACAGACAGAAGAAAACTTTCAGATCTTCTTGATTTCTGTATGGCCAAAGGTATAGCAGATAGACACCTAACAACTAAATCATGCTTCGACTTCCGATCACTGGCCATCAAAAACCAATTGGACTTTATTTAAAGAAACCATTACTAATAACCTAAACATAAACTTGTCTAAAGACAGAAAGTGATCTAGACGCTGCTGTGGATCATCTCACTACATGTATACAAAAAGCGTGCTGGGAATCCATCCCACCAACTAATACTAAACCTAACAATGAGTTCTATCCCGAGGAAATTACACAAAAAATTGGAGAAAAGAGAAAACTTAGAAAAGTCATGGCAAAACAATCGAACACCGACCAATAAAGATGCGTTTAACAAAGCAGCAAAATACCTGAAAAAATGCTAAAAAAAGTTATCTAAAAAATACAATAACTGCAAAATATTTGAGAGATTTATCGCCATTAGAAGCCACAGATTACACCCTTTGGAAGACTTCCAAAAAATTGGTACGTGTTACGTGAAAAGTGTAAGATGCCTCAACTCAGCAGATGTAGATAACGACCATAGCGTAGTATTTAAAATAAGACTCATCCTGAAATACTAACACCCCAGAGAGCGGCTCCAACACAAACAAAAATCAAAGTCGAAGGACTAAATGCGAAATCCACGGAATACTTGTTTTTTAAAAAAATTTAAAAGTTACATTGAGGGTGACAGCAGGAGAAAATGGCTCCTGGTCTTAAAAGGTAATGTTAAACTGACATCTCATTTGTCACAATGTGCTTGAAATATGCTACGTCTAAAATTTCATCTTCCCTTTTTATATTTACTTGCTGATACCAGTATAAATTCAGGATTATTCTCAGACCTTTATCATCTGTGCCTTTGCTTTGAAGAATATCACTAGGTATCGTGTCAAAAGCCGTTTCGAAATCTATGAAACAGGCGTGTATATCTTGATTGACGTTCAAGCATAGCTGTGTGAGAACATTTAGGGCAAAGTAAACTTCTCTAGTGCTTAGTGCTTTTCTGAATCCCAACTGTGTCTCAATAATCAAGTTCCTGCTTTCTATAGACACGGTGATGATTGTTTTTTAGAAATACCTTAGCAAAGGCTCATGAATGAGATTAATCAATAATGGGAACACTCCTTTGCATTTGCTGTTGTTGGTATTGAAATAAATGTGGATAACAGCCATTTTGCTACTATATAGTGTTGTGTATGTCATTAAACAGATGTATTATAATTGTAATACAGTTGTCATTCATAAATATTATCTTGTAGGCATTTAACGGTCAATAAATTTTGCGTTTTTAGGATTGGTTGCGATGCAACTTGTTTAGGTGATGTCTTATTTTCGGAGTCAGTTGGACATACTGCGCTGAATGAAGATGGATCC